ACCTGCCAGTTTATATAGATTCTCCTTTCTCAAGGAGGTGGAGCTTAACTCTTCCAAGTAGCTGAGATTATAGGTAATACGTATTGCCAGTGCACATGGCCCTGGCCCTTTGGCTGTTTTGTTTTTGTTTTTGTTTTTTGGTAACAGGGATTGAACCCAGGGGCACTTAACTACTGAGCCATATTCCTAACTCTTTTTTCTCTTTTTAAATGTTTTACTTTGAGACAGGATTGAGACTAAGTTGCTGAGGCTGGTCTTGAACTTGGGATCCTCCTATGTCAGCCTCCCGTAGTCACTGGGATTACAGGCATGTACACCACCATACCCAGCCCTGTTGGTGATTTTTAAACTTTCATTTATTCCCCAGTCTCAGGGTTTGCGCCCACCCCTTAGTCACTCTAACTATAGAGTTATCGATGCCAAATTGCCTGATTGCTTAATTCATGTGACTCTTTTTAAAATTGTCTTAATTTGACCATTCAGTATCTTCGCCTCTGCTAGCTACTCTTTAAAGCATTCTCCAAGTGACACCATTTTCTTCCTGTATCAGTTCATTTTGGTCTCCTTCACCCTCTTTCTTATTCCCCTTTAAATATTGGTATATCTTAAGATTCCTTTGTGTGTTAGCTTTTTGTTACTATGACAAAATACTGAGAAAATCAACTTAGAGGAGGAAAAATTTAATTTGGCTCACAGATTCACAGGTTTTACATGTGCTTGGCTTCATTGTTTCTAGGCCTGTGGTGAGGCAAGAACATTATGGGTTTGGCAGAGCAAGTTGCTCACCCAGGGGCAGAGAGAAAGAAAAAAGCCAGGGATAAGATATACACTTTAAGGGCATGCACCCAGTGAYTGACCTCCTAAAGTTTCCCTCACATCCCAGTAGTACCAACAGCTGGGGACCAAGCCTTTGGGGGACATTCAAATCCAAACCATAAACTCTGTAACTTCTCTTATTCTCCCGAGGCAAATCTCATTCCAGTGGTGTCAATGATCACATAAATGTTAACTCCCAGATACCTATCTGCAGCCTTTAATCCTGTAATCTCCTGAGACTATCCCCCTTGTTGAACTGCCCATTCAACTGTTTTCACTTTAATCTGCCTTAACTTTTCTTTTATTGAAAATTGATATTATAAGGCAATCATTCTAGTGGCATTTCTTTTAGTCCCTCTTTGTTACTCCAGCTTCCAGCTTCCAGTCAGATGATTCCAGGTCCTGTCCATTATTTCTTGTCAAATCTGCCCCCTCATTCCCATCCTCACAATTTTAGCTTAAGTCRACATCTCTTGACAAGATTATGCAGTCACTTTTTAGTTCAGTTCATGCTTAGTTCTTTTTAAAACATGCTATCATGTCATTTCTTTACCTAAAGAYATTTAGTGATTTCTCACTGCACAAAGGATGTAATCCAGATTTCATTAGGTGACACTTAAAGCCATTTGGAATGTGGCCAGTTCTGTCTCCAGAATGTCTTCCTTTGCCTCGTTCACCTGCTGAATGTCCTTTAAGACCAAGGTTACCACGTCTTTKGAAGCAATCTTAATTTTACCCTAGTGGCTGCCTCTGCTGTGTTCCCATAATCATCATATAGTCTTACCGGTTTATATTTYTTTTTCAGCTACTTTTGAGCACTATTTTGCAGTGCCTGGCTTTAGCTGCTTATAGAAAACGATTTCATTATTAGCATTTCAGGATTAAGATCACCCTTCTGAAGTTACTTCCCTGTGTGATTTTGTAAGTTAGAAACCTCATGAAATGTTGGTGCAAACTACTGGTTATCTGTGTTCTCTATCAGAACAGAGGCTGTGCATAAAAATTGGCATGTTGAAATTTTCCATTAGGAGGAGGTATTTAGGTGGAAGTGCAAAGGTAGACAGCTGGCAAGTTCATAGGATCTTTCTTGGCATTGGATTTACCTAAAGCATTTGGTTTTTCAGGTTTGTTCAGATTTAAACTCATTAGTTGGTGGAGATTTAATGTTGATAGTAAATGCATATGGAAATGAGCTCATCTGGAAACATTAGAGGGGTAAATGTACTTCTTTTTAAGAAGAAAAGGACTGCTTTTTAACATAAATGTTATGCTTCATTTTAAGATAACTTAAAAGCAGTGAATTTTTAAATTCTGATCTCTAGTTGTTGAGTTACTGCTTGATAGCCACTAAATTCTGCCTTGATGTTAATATTCTCTGTATCCATTACTACTGAATAGTTTTACTAAATTAATACTTATAGATACAGCTCTGGCTCAGTCCTTAAAGAAACCAGTCTTCTATTTTTGAGTGTTTTTTCTCTTTTCTTTTTTTTCTTTATTTACTTTTTTAAACTTTGGTGCTGAGGATTGAATCCAGGGAGCTCTACTGCTGAGATATAGCCTCAGTCTTTTTTATGTTTTTATTTGAGACAGGGTCTTGCTAATTACTTAGGCTAGCCTTGAACTTGCAATCCTCCTGCCTCGGCCCCTCAAATTGCTAGGCTTACAGATGTTTGACCTGGCTAGTTTTAAGTATGTTTCTAGTATTTGTGAAAAAGTTTTTTGTAATTGCAAAGAAAAAAAGGGAGGTAAATGGGCATGGTGTTTTATGCCTGTAATCCCAGCCACTAAGGAGGTTGGGGCAGGAGGATCATGAGTTCAAAGCCAGCCCCAGYAAATTTAGCAAGACCCTGTCTCTAAATAAAACATAAAAATGGCTGGGGATGTGACTCAGTGGTTAAGTGCCCCTGGGTTCAATCCGTGATACCAAAAAGAAAAAAAAAAAAAAGGAGTTAATATATAAAGTGCCATATATTTAGGGGCATATTTGGAGTTTTTCACATAGCTATTTTTATTAATTTCTTTCCATTTTTATTGAAAAGGTCATGTTTTCTTAAGAGCCAAAGATTATATTGAAAAACAAATCTCCCTCCTATCCCAGATGTTCCAATCCCTTACATTAGTCCCTTGGGTTGGGGTGGAAGGGCTACCRGGGATTGAACTCAGAGGCACTCAACTACTGAGCCACATCCCCTGCCCATTTTTATATTTTATTTAGAGACACTGACTCACTGAATTGCTTAGGGCCTTGCTTTTGCTGATGCTGGCTTTGAACTCATGATCCTCTTGCCTCAGCCTCCCAATCCACCTGGCTCCCTTTTGTTTTCATTGACCACATGGGGTCACACTGAATTCACTKTTGCACTTTGCTTTGCTTTCTAAATGTAAAATACAGACTATATCAACATGTATAGCTGTAACTTGTTCGTTCTCTTTTGTTCTTTATTCTCCACCCGTCCTGTACTGAGGATTGAACCCAGAACTTTGTACTTAATTACTTTTCYACTGAGCTACATTCCTGATCCTTTTTTAAAAGTTTAGTTTTGAGATGGCCCTCCTAAGTTGCCCGAGCTGGTCTAGAATTTAAGAATTTAAGATCTACAGCTTCCCAAGTAGCTAGAATTACAGGCATGTGATACTGTTCCTTGGCTAGGTTTAACTTTCTAACTAGTCTTCTATTGGTAGTCATAGAGATTATTTTTTGTACTTATACCTAGTGCTCTTATGAATAAATATTCACACACATGTTCTTGTATATGTATGCAAATAAGTCTGTAGGATGGATTCCTAAAAGTATAATTGCTGAATTAAAAGAATATGTGCTTGGGCTGGGGTTGTAGCTCAGCGGTAGAGCACTCTTCCTAACTTGCAAGGCCCTGGGTTTGATCCTCAGCACCGCAATCAATCAATCAATCAATCAATAAGTTCTGTTCATTGATCCTCAGCACCACATCAAATAAATAARTGAATAAATGTTCTGACCATCTTTACCTTAAAAAATTAATTAATTAATTAATTTTAAAATGTCCTTGAGCTGGGTGTGCTGGTGCAGGTCTGTAATCCCAGTGGCTTGGGAGGCTGAGGCAGGAGGATCAAGAGTTCAAAGCCAGCCTCAGCAATTTAGCAAGGCCCTAAGCAACTCGGTGAGACTCTGTCTCTAAAAAAATATTAAAAAGAGCTGGGGATGTGACTCAGTGGTTAAGCACCCTGGGGGTTATAATCCCCAGTACCCAAAAAAAAAGAAGAAGAAAAAGAATATGTGCTTGAGATGAGGAAGTGGGGAGGATATGTGTATTTTAAATTTTGACTTCTGTTGCCAAATTACAGGAGTATAACTTCTCATGTTTTTCTATTGGATTGTGAGTTTTTGTTATAGGTATTGAGGGTTGACTTTGCATATTTGCCAATTAGATGTTTCAAATGTTTCTATTAGTAACTGATACCTTAAAATACAGGTGAAAATAGTTAAAAGCAGATAGTTAATTAGTATTCAGATACCTGCTTTCCTTCAGCCAGGAGTGGTGATACACGCCTGTGATCCCAGCCACTCACCTGTAGTCATCCCAGACACTCTGGAGGCTGAAGCAGGTGGATCACAGGTTTAAGGTCAGCCTGAATAATTCAGCAAAACCCTGTCTCAAAATAAAAAGTGTGCAGTGGTGCATGCCTGTAATCCTAGCAACTAGGAGACTGAGGCAGGAGACTCCCAAGCTTGAGGCCAGCCTCAGCAATTTAGTGAGACCCTCAGCAACTTAGCAAGACCCTGTCTCAAAAATAAAAACCAAAAAGGCCTGGGGATGTAGCTCAGTGGTAAAGTGCCCCTGGGTTCATTCTCTAGTACCAGAAAAAAAGAAAAAAACGATACCTACTTTCCCTCTCCATGCAGAGCAACAGAGGGGCACCATCTGCTCTTGAGGTTGTGGTTGTTCTAAAATGCTAGAAGTTCCTCTTTTCTTTCTTTGAATGTGATAATGTTTGTCTTTAAAAGATTGACTTTTAGAAATGCATCTTGGAAATAAATCACTAGCAGGTGAGTGGAATTAGTAACTGAAAATAAAGATTTGGATTTTCGCCTTTGCTACACCCAATGAAATTATGATGCTTGAACCCCCCCCCCAAAAAAAAAGGTAAAATGAAAATTCCTTTGTGAGGTTGTTATTCTCATACTGTATATTTTCTTTCAGATTCCTTTGTTTCTTCCTCTTCCTCTCAGCCTGTATCTCTATTTTCGACCTCTAAAGGCAAGTCTGTAAACTTTTTTTGTTCATTAATAAAAGAAAAATGTTGAGAAAGAGGCTGTAACTGGGGATAAGAGGCACAAGTCTTCTATTGCCCCCACATTCCTATATGAAAATTATTATAGCTGGGCATGGTGGTAAATCCCAGCGACTTGGGAGGCTGAGGCGGGAGGATCACAAATTCTTGGCCAACCTAATCAACTTACTGAGACCCCATCTCAGAATTAAAAAATGACAGGTAGAATGCTCCTGGGTTCAATGCCCAGTACCACAAACAAACAAAACTAATTACAAGCCAGTCCTTTCTATTTAACAGTTGTCAATGGGTTTCCTGTAAAGATTGATAAGATAGAATGAGGGTGGGTGGACCACTGAACACAGCATAAGTTTAGATGTAATTTTGAATATTTCCTAAAAATTGAAAACTTGACTGTGGAATTTGTGGCTCAGAAAACACTCCACCCCAGAATACATTTAATTTTTTTATTTCTATTTATGTAACTTGTTTAGAAAGAGTAGTGACTTTAGAAAATAATTTAAAAGTGTGCCTACAAATATGTGTGACCTACAGATATGCCAACAACTAGAATATCATAATCTGAATTTCTCTGGGATTTGTCCCAAGAGCTAGGCTAGTTCCAAATTGAACAAGTCAGTTGACTTTTGGCAATTAAGACTTCTTGTCCTAGAGATTTAAGCCATGGCTTTTTTTCTCCCTTTATCTGTCAGTCTATGAGGAAGGGTATCAAAGTTTTTAGGAGTAGCTACCACCATGAACCTGAGAGAGAAAGAGAATACTGCTTCCTTGCTTTGTTCCAGTAATAAAGTGCTATTCCATTGGTACAGTTGAACTAGATTCCCAAATATAGGTCAGTGGAAAAACCTTAAAAAAAAAAAAAAAAAAACAAGAAAAGTAATTAAAATCACTAGACAGATCTAAAAAACCCTGTATAAACAGTTTATTGTCCCAACTAGAATTCTCTAACTGTAAAGTCTAGATGTTGATTTATTACGAAGACTTTGACCTTATAAGAAAAAAATATAATGGGATAAAACCTACACTTGTTAAATTTTTGTCTCATCTAGTTTTCTTAGGAAAAATTATAGACAGTTCATTACTTGCAATTCAAACAGATAACATTAACACACCCCCAAACCTTTATAATGTCCCTAATTATGTGAATTTAGGTAAGTTGTGTATGAAATCATGACCTTTGAAATTAACATATTTACATTAAAAGGTAGAGATTTTGTAAACATTACAAAATAACTAAAACATAAAGTAGTTCTCGTTCTTGACATTTGGAACTTGATCAGATTTATATTTTTAAGGATTTTTTTTTCCTCATGAGAAATTTAGTAATTTAGGTAAATTGTTATTACATTATTCTACTATGGGAAAACCATAGTATACATTGAAAAAATAACCACATTTCTACTTTTGTATTTCAGATCCTTAAAAATACATTATAGCTTTATGTCACTTTTTTCATACAGAAATGGGATAGTTAATATCCTAAATAGTGAACAGTGCAACTTATACACAACATACCCAATGTGTGAAATATTTAGACTGCATAACTTTAAAATTTTAAGCTGGATGMAGTGGTGCAGGCCTGTAATTACAGCAACTCTATAGGCTGAGGCAGGAGGGTCACAAGTTTGAGGCCAGCCTCAATTTAGGGAGACCCCGTCTCAAAATTAAAAAGGTCTGTAGATATAACTCAGTGGGAAAAGCCTCCTGGGTTCAGTCCCCAGTGCAAAAAGAGAAAAAGACAATTGAATCTCTTAACAAAAATTACGCATGATCTCAAGTAGAATGGAGTTTTGTTTTTGTTTTAAGAACTTTTCTGATTAAAAACTAAGATTTAGTCCTGGTCATGGTGGCCCACACCTGTAATCCCAGCTTCCTATAGGCTAAGGCAAGAAAGAGGATGGCAAGTTCAAGGCCAGCCTGGTCAATTTAGACCGTCTCAAAATCAAAAGGACTGAGGAYATAGCTCAGTAGTAGAACACTGACTAGAATGTGGGAGGCCCTGGGTTCAATCCCCAGTACTGCACAACAACAGTTTTCAAAAAAACTTCAGTTTTATAGTGCATATTAATGTTTGTATAAGAGCATACAATTATTGTTCTTCCTTTTTAGCTTCCAGAAATTTATTTTCAGGATAGTGTTATTGTAAAGTGGTGGTTAAAACTGCTGCATTCTTAAAAGCATTGCARTCTAGTCTCTTTTTTTTGTATGTGTGGGGGGGTGTTTTTTGTTTGTTTGTTTGTTTGTTTTTTGAGAAAGAGGTAAATGAAGGTTTATTACTTTGCTAACGAAGGAGAAACATAGGGGACTCCTGTCCCAAAGACAGATTCTGCCCCTCATCAGAAACAGGGGTTTTGTGTGTGTGTGTGTGTGTGTGTGTGTGTGTGTGTGTGTGTATACACACCAGGGATTGAATTCAGGGGCACTTGGCCACTGAGCCATATCCCCAGCCCTAATTTGATTTTATTTAGAGACAGCGTCTCACTGAGTTGCATAGCGCCTCACTAAATTGCTGAGGCTGGCTTTGAACTCCCAATCTTCCTGCCTCCGCTTCCTGAGCCACCATGCCCAGCTCTTGTCTGTCTGTCTGTCTCTCTCTTTAATATTTATWTTTTAGTTGTAGTTGGACACAATACCTTTGTTTTATGTGTTTATTTTTATGTGGTGCTGAGGATCGAACCCAGGGCCTCGAACGTGTAAGGTGAGCGCTCTACCACTGAGCCACAACCACAGCCCTCTAGTCTCTCTTAATAACATTTTCTCCWGCAGAAACACATGATGGAAAATCAGCCTGATAGGGCTGTATTTCATTGGCCATCTATGGGTCAGCCTGTTAAATTGTTTGCAGAGATGCCTTGACAGATAATTAGGTATATATATCCAAGGTAGTCAAGACTAGGAGCTTCTAATCTGCATCAACAAAAATAAAGGAAGAGGAAGTTATTGGTGTACTTGCTTAGGTGTATTAAAACCCCAGGGAGGGAGGGAGGGGGCTGAGGTACTAGGGCCTATCTAGTCCTACAAAGGTCTTTCAGAGTGAATGCCATCACCAGGTTGCACTTTAAGTTTGTAATTAGCGCTAACTCAACTAATCTTTTTTATATTCTTTAGCCATTTAGCCTAGGGAAAACCATACCCTATATATTTTTATATATTAAACAATATAAAGCAATAATTAAATGGAACATTTGTAGATTTAAAAATGACTTGCATTTTTAATCCTCAAATACATATTTATCATTAATTGGGTTTCAAGGATGTGCATATACAAAAATTTAATGAACTTAATGAGGTCCTTCCTAAATAAGTTGTGCCTCCCAAGTCGGTCCTTATAGTCTTGCTTTTCCATTAAGCATTGTAAATTTCAGCCTAATCCCTGAGAGTTTCAAAACAGGGGAGTATATTTTTAATAATTTCCTATACTTATAAAAAGATATAAAGATATTGACAGATGTCTTGTATGTGACTAATTTTTAAGTTTTTGCTATGCTTAGTACTTCATGCAAATCTTCTCATTTAATCCTCACGGCCAATTTTGTGGAGGAAAAGTACTAACTCTTTTACCAGTTGAGGGAACTGGGGTTTAAAATGGTGAAGTGACTTGCTCTAGGTCACACAGCAAGCAAGTGACAGATTAAGGACTCAAATTCATGCTGATATCTTCTGCCTGTGATACAGATGGTCAAGTTAACTGACTGTATCTTAGGGTTTGGAGGTTTTTTTAAAAGACATAATTTTGAAGTTGGTGTTAAAATTATGAGAACAAAACTGGGCACAGTGGTGCATGCCTGTAATCCCAGCAACTGGAGAGGCTGAGGCAGGAGGTTGGTAAATTTGCCAGCCTCAGCAATTTAGTCAGTAATGTAGTCTCAGAAAGGTCTGGGGATATGGCTCAGTGGCAGAGCACCCCTGGGTTCAATCCCCAGTGCCCTGTCCCCAAGATTATGAAAGCAAAAATAAGCAGAAATTACTGTTTTGACCATATCCTTGCTATTAGTAATATAGCTGTCATCTGCAGAATGTGTTCCTTCTATCAGACACAAAAACTGAAATTTGTTTCAACTTTGAAATCTTTGGGAAAAAGTGGAGGCTGGAAAGTACTTTGATTTTCTTTAGAAACATTTAAGGAGGTGAAAATAAGATTGGAAAGAGAATCCATCCATCATTCAGAATTGGAAAGCATATTCAGAATTGGAAAGCATATTTACATTGATGAATGTTACATTCTCTTTGACTAATGAAGTAGGCATCTAGAATAGGAAGTTACATACTGAACTTTGGGGCAAGCATTGAGGAAAAAATTTTGCCAGTTACAGCCTTTTTAAAAAATTTTAAGCAAAACATTTTTCTTTGTACTTTAAAAGAGTCTTTTTGTTTAGGACCTAGCTTGGCTGCAAAGTGTCTGCTGGCTAACTTCCTATTTTGATGCTRTGGCTGAAAGTTGCTGATACTGTTTTGCACGGTGATTTGTCTTCTTGTTTTGTGAAAATGAGAAAATTCATGTGTAGGAAATCCTATACCTGAATATTTCAAGCCTCCTTTGTATGAATATGCATAGTATTTATGTGAAAAAGTAACAGTGGCACCATTTCCTCACTGATTAGGGTGTTTTTTTTTTTTCACATTATGGTTTCCTTTTAATTTGAAGGAATAAATTTTCTGCCAGATGTGCACACACCTGTAATCTCAGCTGCTTGAAGCTTGGGAGGCTGATGCAGGAGGATCCCAAGTTCAAAGCCAGCCTCAGCAACTCAGTGAGGTCCTTAAGCGACTTAGTGAGACCGTGTCTCAAAGTAAAAAATGAAAGAGGGMCAGGGAATGTGGCTCAGTAGTTAAGTACCCATAGGTTCAATTTCTGGTACCAAAGGGGGAAAAATGAATTTTCTAAGGGAGGGTATAGTAACCAAGTGGTAACTATTCCATAAGCTCTTGATTCTTTTGGGGAAAAATTTTTTGATATAACATCTAA